AAAATTAGTAGACAGTAAATGCGTGAATTTATTTCTGAGTTCTCTATTCTGTTTCATTTGTCTATGTCTGTCTGTCATTCATATATCTCTATCTATCTCTATCTCTCCCTGGCCCATTTTTTTGTGCCAGTTCCCTGCTGTTTTGGTTACCATACGTTTGTAGTATATTTTGAAATAAGTTAGTGTGAGGCTTCGAGTATTTTTCTTTTCAAGCAAGATTCTTTTGTCTGAGGTATTTTGCATGTCTATGTAAATTTTAGGATTTTTTTTTTCTATTTCTATGAAGAATGTCTTTTGTAATTTAACAGGATTTTGCTCATTCTGTAGATTCCACTGGGTGATACAGATATTTTAACAATATTCTTCTAGTGCTTGGACATGGGATATCTTTCCATTTACACATGTCTGCTTTAATACCTTTTATCTATGTTTTATAGTTTTCATTGTGGGATCTTTCACATTTTTGGTTAAGTTCATCTCTGGGTATCATTTTTTGGTGGAGGTAGTAGCTGCTGTAATGAAGTAGTGTTCTTGATTTCTTTCTTAGGCGTTTCACTATTTGCGCATCGGTGTGCTACTCATTTTTGTATATGATATTGTGTCTTTCAACTTTAGTAAATTTATTTATTATTTCTAGTAGGATTTTTTTTGGTAGAATCTTTAGGGTTTTCTCTCTATATGTTCGTGATCATTTCACCTGCAAACAGAGACAATTCAACTTCCTTTTTTCCAACCTGGGTGCCTTTTATTGCATTCTCCTTTCTAATTGCTCTTCCAGGACTATGATGAATAGAAGTGGTAAAAGTAGCCAAACTTGTTCCAGATCTTTGAGGAAGAGCTTTTTAACTTTTCCCCATTGTTTATGATGTTAGCTGTGTTTTTGTCATATATGGCCCTAACAATGGAGTTGGTTCTAGTTATGAGTTTGGCATAGAGGCTGATTGCTGTGTTAACAAAAATTCCTATCCCTAGTTTGTTGGGTGTTTTTATAATGAAATGGTGTTGGCTTTGTGAAAAGTACTTCCTGCATCTATGGAGATGAGTACCTGGGTTTCTTATTCTGCTTATTTCATGTTTATTTGCAGGGATGGCTATAGTATGCAAAATCAGCTTGATTTTCTGAGAAAAGGGTGTAGTGATCATGGCCTGTAATCCTTCAAATATGTCTTAGTGTCAGATTATGATCATTTTGCTGAGCATTATTAATTATATAATCATGCTAGACATTCATCTATGCCTTTCTGTTCTTGTGATTTCATTTCCTAGTGTAATTTAGTATTCATTTGGGGATGGGACTGCCCATAGGTTGGTTTTGTATTTAGAGTATTAAGGGTTAGAAGTTTGGAGGATAAAATTGAGCAGAAATGGGACATACCTGAGGGATTGTGGGAAGAGTGGTGTGAGGTCAGGGTCAGTCAGGGTTTAGGGTTAGCAAGAGAGTGCCTGTAGCTTTCACCAGTGAACTTTATCAGTCCTTTTAATCTTGCAAACCAGGCAGGCAAAGATACTTCAGTGTTTTAATTGGCACTTCCTTGAGTTCCTTGCTGAGGCTCAAACTCAGCAGTAGTACCTGGGAAGAAATTAGGACACAGAAGTGAGAAGGTTGGAGTCCAACATTGCAACAGTGCATCAGCCAGTGGCTGAGCTGCAGAGGTTCCCATCTTATTTCAAATTTTGATGAAAAATAACACATTTTATACTTTTATCTCACAAAGAAGCTAGACGTTTACAAATTGATATGGCTAATTTTATATATTTTGGGGTTAGAGACTATAATCTTCTAGCTTTCCCTAATACTTCCCTCATATTTTGCCAGCTCGCCCTCCCCTGAGTAAATCCCAATGCATGGTGAAAACCACATTTGGAATATTTTAGCTGCTGGCTGTGTGGGAAATCACTTGCCATCCCCAACTTTCAACTATAAAAAGACAAGTATTTATACTGAAGAACACAGAATTTTGTGACTATGATAAAAGATAATATGAGAGACTCCTGGCAAAATTTGATGCATGGAAGTGTGCATACATAGATTGCAGACTAATATATGTACATGTTAATGGAAGTGCCAGTCACATTTTGGATCTTGTAATCAGGAGGTCCTCATCACACCCTGTGAACATGAAAACTGAGTTCCAATTCAGCTACTGCTGACAAAGCGTGGGTCATGTGCTTGGTCACAGCCTCTGCTAGCCTCATATTCTTTGTTTTTTATTTTTATTTTTGAGACGGAATCTCGCTCTGTTGCCCAGGCTGGAGTGCAGTAGTGCGATCTCAGCTCCCTGCAACTTCCGCCTCCCGGGTGTTGAAAATGCATGCCTTGAATGAAGAGACACCCCAAACAGGCTTTGTGTGGGCAACCTGGCTGTTTATTCACCTGGGAACAGGTTGGCCAAGGCCGAAAAGGGCGTTAGCAAAGGGCAATGGGATAGGAGTTGGTTTTATAGGTTTGGGGTGGGCAGTGGAAAGTTACAGAGAGTAAGATCAGTCACAGTGGTGGGAGTAGGGGCAAGGAGTATACATTACCATAAGTTTAGTTACAGTGGTGGCTGGGAGTGAGGCAGAAGAGCAGTTAAGATGACAGGATGGGTGAGAGGTATTCACATTATCTAAGAACAGTTAAGATGGCAGGGTTGGGTGAGGGGCTTCTCCGGGGAAGCTCCGCTGGGTAATCAGGGAAAATGGTGAATGCAGGTGGGGCGGGGGGTGGGAGACAATCAGGTGGCAAGCAGGACTTCAGACTTTCAGGCTTTAGGTTTGCATGTGGAGACCTAACACCGGGTTCAAGCAATTCCGTACCTCAGCCTCCAGAATAGCTGGGATTATAGGTGCCCGCCACCATGCCTGGCTAATTTTTGTGTTTTTAGTAGAGACGGGGTTTCTTCATCTTGGCCAGGCTGGTCTTGAGCTCCTGACCTCATGATCCACCTGCCTCTGTCTCCCAGAGTGCTGGGATTATAGCTGTGAGCCACCGTGCCCGATCACCTCATAGTCTTTGTCTGAAATACAGGGGCAGAGGTATTCTTCCCAGGGCGGTCCAGGGTTCAATGAGACGAGTTATGCAGGTCTATCAGCAGAGTGACTTGGACAAGGGAGAGGCTTCACAGCTGTCTTCTTTCCACAGTTGCTCAGAGAGATTGTGAGTGAGGCTGGAAAGTAGCCCACGTGGGAGAGTGGCTGTATGCAGGGAAGAGGTTACCTGGTGAGGAAGGAGACCCAAGCCTCTAAGATCACCTCCCGCTTGACTTCCACACTGCATTTCAATAGAAGTAAAGGCTGGCCGACTGGGCACCACCTTAATCGCCCTCCTATAAGATCGCAGGCATAGTGTGGGGGAATCTTTCTGGAAGGCATTGTTTTAACTTAAACAAGTTCAAACCCCCACCCCATGCCTATTCCATGGACCAAGACCCTTTCACATGTAATTTCTAAAACTGTAAACCCAAGACCCTTTCACATGTAATTTCTAAAACTGTAAACCCAAGACCCTTTCACATGTAATTTCTAAAACTGTAAACCCAAGACCCTTTCACGTGTAGTATCTCAAGTTGTAAGCCTATATAGGGCTTCTGTTAGAGGAGCTTGGCTATTAGGCAGTTATGCCGCCTTACTCCAGCGTGCCCTCTGCTGGTGGCTGGGGGCACTGCAGGGCTGGCAGAGGACACACACCCTCTGGTGGCCGTCTTGCTGCACCACTTAAAGTCGGAGCACAGAGTGTTCAGCACCATCATTCTGGAAATGCAAACTGACAGGGAGCCCACTAGCCCCTGTGTTTCTAAAAAGGAAGAAGGGAAAATTTTTTTTTTTTTTGAGATGGTGTTTCACTCTTGTTACCCAGGCTGGAGTGCAATGGCGCAATCTCGGCTCACCACAACCTCCGCGTCCTGGGTTCAGGCAATTCTCCTGCCTCAGCCTCCTGAGAAGCTGGGATTACAGGCATGCGCCACCATGCCCAGCTGATTTTTTGTATTTTTAGTAGAGATGGGGTTTCACCATGTTGACCAGGATGGTCTCGATCTCATGACCTCGTGATCCACCCACCTCGGCCTCCCAAAGTGCTGGGATTACAGGTGTGAGCCACCGCGCCCAGCCAAGAAGGGAAAATTAATTGGAAACCACAGGAATGAAATAAACATGGATGCACATTTTACAACATGGAAAAATTCACTCAACATAGACTTCACACTTAAAATGCAAAACTGTCAGAGGCATCTTAACCACAGTGACTTTATTTTAAATAAAAGCTTTAGAAATAGTTAAATCTGGGCAGGGTGCAGGGCTCACGAGTGTAATCGCAGTACCCTGGAAGGCCAAGGTGGGAGGATCACTTGAGATCAGGAGTTCAAGACCAGCCTGGGAAAATAGTGAGACCCTCATGTCTACAAAAAATATATAAAAATTAGCCGGTGTGTTGATGCGTGCCTGTGGTCCCAGCTACCCAGGAGGCTGAGGCGGGAGGATAACTTGAGCCCGGGAGTTTGAGGCCACAGTGAGCCAGCCATGATCATGCCACTGCACTCAAGCCTGGGAGACAGAGTGAGACCCCGTCTCACACACACCCACACCCCCCCACACACGTTACATTTGTTGGATTATATATTTAGGGGTTGAGCACCTTTGGTTATGAAATATTTGGGTTGCAGGAACAAGCTAATAACTAAAGACCCAAAACTTATAAAAATATAAGAGTAGTTTAAGCAAAAAGTATTCTTAATTTAAAAATGTTTTACTTTAAAGATAATAGTACACTCATAAATTATTGTTAAAATCAGTAGTAACATAGAAAAGTACCAATACTAATAGCCTGACACAAACTGATCACAGGCCTTTATAAGAGACAATACTATTCTATATAAACAAACATTCAGGCCGGGCACAGTGGCTCACACCTATAATCCCAGCACTTTGGGAGGCCAAGGAGGGCGGATTACTTGAGGCCAGAAGTTGAACACCAGCATGGCCAACATGGTGAAACCCTGTATTTACTAAAAATACAAAAAAATAGCTTTGCACATTAGCAGTATTGTAGCCAATGAGCTTTATCTGAGGCGTGATTATTGCTAATTGAAAACTCTTACCAATACCCCGCCATGACGACTGGCAATATACTCGGCATTGACCATTATTGGCAGCCTCCACAGGGACTGAATAAATAAATAAATAAGTAAAAATAAAATGGAAAATAAATACAAAACACTTAGCTAGGCATGGTGGTGCACACATATAATCCCAGCTACTTGGGAGGTTGGGGCAGGGGAATCCTTAAACCCAGGAAGCAGAGGTTGTAGTGAGCCGAGATCATGTCATTGTGACTAGAGTAAAACTCCATCTCAAAAATAACGTTTTTTTCTTTAAAACAGGTGCGTTCCTCCTCTTGCCTTCTGAGGATTCCCTGCTCTGTAACTTAGTAGTGGCTAATAAACTCTCCTAATGTCACTAGACTCTGTGGCTCGCCATAAATTCCGTCTCATGTGAGATCCAAAAACCCGTTGTTGGGGTCTCAGACAAGGCCCCTTTTCTGGTGAAAAACTATACTAATTCTTTTCTTTGAAATGGAGTCTTGTGCTGCTGCCCAGGCTGGAGTGAAGTGGTGTGATCTCGACTCTCTGCATCCGATGCCTCCCAGGTTCAAGCGATTCTCTTGCCTCAGCCTCCCGAGTAGCTGGGATTACAAGTGCCTGCCACCACGCATGGCTAATTTTTGAATTTCTAGTAGAGACAGGGTTTTACAATGTTGGCCAGACCAGTCTTGAACTCCTGACCTCAGGTGATCCACATGCCTTGGCCTCCTAAACTACTGGGCTGACAGGCGTGAGCTACCTTGCCTGGCTGGCTTGTATCCTTGGTGATTGCTTGGATATAGAGGGTGGAGGAGGAGGGGTGTCAAGCAGATACTGCTCTTGGATTACCACCTGGGATATTAGATGCAAGGCTCTATTACTGGTTCCAACCCTGAGAGTGCCAGCAAACAACTCGAGGCAGTGTGGAGCAACATGCTGTTTTAATGAGCGCCTGGGTGCAGACTGGCTGAGGCCAAAAATGGTGTCAGCCCCAAGTGAGGGTGAGGCAGGGGTTTTCTAGTCTCCTGTAAATGGGAAGTGTTCCAGTCTGACATAACTGCTCCGTGGTACCTAGTCGGTCTCTCTCTTGATCTTCAGGGGATCCTTCTCTTCTAGCCTGACCTCTTTTGGCTTCTGCTGTCTTGCTGACCCACGCTGCTGGTGCAAGTGGTCTTGTACCTTGGGACCGGGCCTGAGGCGGGAGGGGTTATCCCCCCAGGTTTTCAGGCCCCAGGGCGAATCTTTCATTAGGGAGAGTAGGCTGGCCGAGTTTTGTTAGGCATAACTTGGCTTTGTGGGCGCAGTGGCATGCCTCAAGCTGAAAGCTTGATTTGTTGTATATGTCAGACCCCACATGGCTGTTCCTGTGACTGCCAGGCCACTTTGAGGCTGAGAGAGACAGTTTTGTCTGGCCTCTGTCCTACACATGTTTATGGATACCTTCTCTGTGTTGGCAGATCTGGGGGTCCACCAGATAGGATCCCATGAAGAGATCTCAAAGGTCTTTAGTCCAATGTGTTAATCACATCATTTCCACAATCAAAGATGAATAAAATATAGAGATTTCTTTAGTAAGGTTGATGGTGCACCTGTGCTAGGTAGTGTTTTGGTTCCTTGAGACACCAAGGAGTTGAGACAATCCTTTGCCTTAGAATTTTGCATCTGTAAGTCCTGCCATTGAGAGCTGTGTGCGTTACAATGTCTGATTTGGTCAGGTGGGGTCTGGGCTGTCTGCAATCTTAGGTAAGGGGAGGCTGATGTCCAGCAAGTATCCAGTACCCCCTCAACACCCCAGTTCTTCTCCACCAATCTTCCAATTCTAGGACTGATGTGGAGGCCCTCAGAGCGGCTTAAGAGGGGAAGCAGTCAGTGTGATCTGTGGCTAACTTGTTTGGGAATGTACATTGTAAATCCTCTGCTGACAAAACGTTGGAAACAAGCAGTGTTTCAGCTTGAGTTTCTCGTAAATGGCTTGCAGTCATACAAACCAGAGCATGCATACAACAGGGCAACATGAGGGTCCCTCTACCACCCTTTCTCCCAGTGGCCTAGGTGGGCATCTACACAGAATAATGTGTGCAGCCTCACTGTGTGAAAGTCAAGTGCTTTGTAGAGCATCATCAGGGAAAGGCTCCTTACTTGAAGGTTGCCGATCTGCCACAGAGGGGAGGAGGGGGAGTGTGGCGCTGCTGGGCCCACGTCTCGCTCTCTAACAGGAGGCACAAGATAGCCTTGGTCTTATGAAGACCTTGGGTGCCCCGGCTCACTTCAGCCCTGATCAGCCTGAGGCAGGCACCGGGCCCTGGTTCCAAAGGTGAGAATACACCCTGGACTTCCACTCCACGGCTGGCACAGTGGGCATTCATGTGCCTGTTTGGGGACTGCTACAGACTCTTGTGCCAGATGCAGTGGTGCACAGCTGGAAGCCAAGGGTCCCTGCTTCTGCTGGAGAATCTGGGCAGATGTAAAGGGTTAAGGTTAGGGGTAGGAGTAGGGTTAGGGTTAGGGGTTAAGGTGGGGGTTGGTGTTGAGGTTTGGGGGTCAAGGGTCGAGGCTAAAGAGTAGGATTAGGGATTGGGGTAGGGGTAGGGTCAGGGGTTAGGGTTTACAGTTAGAGGTTAAGGTGAGGGTAGCGGTGGGGGTGAGGGTGAGGGTAATAAGCAGATTAGTAAGAGCAATTCTGTTTCACTTCAATAACAAACCTCTCCAACTCATTTTGTCTCAACAAACTCATTTTTCCAGCAGAAAAAACTGAGGCTTCTTAAAGCACCCAGTGGCTTTTCACACCTTAAATCTGTGAAATCCTCATGTTTTCTTCTGCCATATGCATAGTTCAAACATACAAGATGAGGCAAAGCCAGACGCATTCCTGAAGGGACCCAAGAAATTTCTCTCTTTCTCTCTCCAGAACAAAATGAATTCTCTAGACCATCAGTACTAACCTTCAAAAGCCAAACATGTTTGTGAGATCTCCTTTAAATACTCATGTAGACCCAAGTGTTTGTATGATATTATTTTAGTATTTATATTAATATAAGAGGGAACGTTTAAATCTGTCTATACCATATGTGCCTCTGGCTTATTGCCCAGTTAATTGTAACCTCAGACTAAACTTTGGTTTCTGTCTCTAACTTTTGTCAGAATAAATATACCTGATTTCAGAACATCTGCTTTTATGGTAGGGGCTTGTGCTGCCATCTCCATTTGTCTCTCTTTTCTTACAATCTTTAATGTTAAAGATTAAAGTTCTTTAATGTGGACATTGTGACCACCTTCACTCTCCCATGTCCACTGTCAGCACATTTAGACTTGCTCAGCCGAGGCTGTCATCTTAGGCCGGAGATTTTTTAGGAATCTTTATTTTTCTGTGACACAGTTGGCACCCCTTTGACTCACTTTATCAACCCAGGGTTCTTTTCATTTTAGGAGCCCAAAAGGGCAGAAAAAGAAGTAGGTGAGCAATTAAACCCTCTGAGTCAGGAGAGTGTCCCCTTGTGTTAAGCAATGTTGCAGAACGTCGTATGTAGTAATCTAGCAGGTGAGCCACATGGCTGCTGAGCACACATGCCTACTTGCTGCTGTGAGCTCAGACTGCCTCATCATTAGTCTTTTCTATCTCTGGAAAGAATTATAAGGGCCACTTAATAACCTGTAAGTCCTAGAGAGTTAAAGGTGTTTCCCCAAAACACTGAGGACAGAATGAAAGGTGAGGAGTGTTAGCCACAGCTCAGAAGTGCAGGAAAGTCTCTCGATGTGGGTTGTTGGAGAAATGCAGGCCTTTTTTCTTTTGGAAGTCTCCCTAAAATAGGGTGAAGGACACTGCCCATTCTGGGATGAAAAATTGGGATATTAGACACCCTCGGATATTTATCCCAAGCCTTCATTTAGGGTTCTTAATGAGTTTATTCAGCCATCGCAATCTCAAATGCTAAGTAGGACATTGGAATCTCTCCACAGTCCAAATTAGCACCGTCTTTTAAAGTTACATTTCTCATTATTCTCACTTGACATACCTTATGTATCCCACACTCACCCTAATAACACATCGTGCTCACTGTTACCTTTGCAACAAGACTTGAATTTTACTTAGCCTGGAGGAGTGCACTTCACATGCCTAGACCCAGTTCTGACTCATTCGTCAGCCCTGCATCAGTCAGTGGGGGCTAGGTTAAAGCACAGTGACAAGCAGCCTCCAAGTTTCAGTGGCTCAAAAATCTTCTCCCTCATTTATTTGCATCTCATCACGGGTCAGGTGAGAGGTTGCTCTGTGTTGTGTCATCCTAACACAGGAATCGAGGCTGAAGGAGGTACCATCAATAAGATCCCCACTGCTATGAAAAAAGACAAAAAGTATGCTGGATAGAACTCTGTTTCTTGGAGATTTCTCCTGAAAAATCATATATTATTTCTTCTCACCTCCAGTGGAAAAAAAAAAAAAAAAGTCAAGTGGCCATGCAAAAATTTAAGTAGGTGGGATGGAACAGTCAGAATGCATTCATAAAAAATGAACTGAAAATATTTGGAGAACAGCACCAATGACTATCGTGAATGCCAGCATGCATTCCTAACAACCCAGTGCTATCACCCTTCAAACTTCTTATGTCTTGCAAAGTATTAGAACTTTCGATCTGAAAGCATACCACTCAGAGGGACTGCAAATACATACTGGCATCTCCTTTAGGATGTCCTTAGAGAATTCAAGGAAAAGAAGTTAAATAATCCAAAAGTGCTTTTGGGTACAGCTATTTAGCACTAGAGGGTAAGATTAGAGATAGATTGTAGTTATCATAATAGGGTTAGAATTAGGGTCTGGGTCAGGGTCGGGGCTGGAAGTATGGTTAGAGGTGGGGTCATGGTCAGGGTCAAGATCAAAGTCAGGGTCAAAGTCAGGGTCAGAATTAGGGACCAGTGTATGGATCAGGGTTTAGGGTCAGAGTCAAAGTCTAGCGACAGGGTTAGGGTTAGAAGCAGAGCTTTGTTCTCCTCAGGACCCACCTGAGGAGAGGCCATGGCTTTGGAGCACCTGGTAGTGTGTCCACAGTGAAGATCAAAGTTTCATTCTCCTCAAGTCTGACCTAGCGGTA